CCCACCTCCTGCTCTGCAGGCCGGGAGACACAGGCACCGAGGGGCCGGTAGGGCGGCGGGAAGGAGCATGAGGACAGGACGGCTGTGCTGCAGACTGGCTGGTACCGAGGCCACTCAGGAACGCCCGGGGTGGGGGGCCCAGGCCGCTCAGCTGTCATTCTGATTAAACCCAGACGTCCCTCCTACCGGTGCATATGTGCCCTGGGAGCATTTAAATGAAAAGCGCAAGGATCGGAGAAGAGTTCCTGGAAACCTGCTTCGTGGGGAGAGGGGGAAGGGGAGAGCGGGCTGTGGAGCCCCCCGCTGCTCGCCCATGGCCAGTGGCCCCCGTGCAGCGAGGGCCCTCCAGCCTCTGCCTGCTGGGAATGGGCCCAGGCCACCTTGCCCCGCCCCAGGCTGCCTGGGTGATGCCTGGGTGGAGGCCGACCCCTGTCTTCTGAGGACTCTGCCCTGGGTCTGGAAGTGGGGCGTTGAGCCCAAAGTGACCTGAATTCGAATATCATTCCGACAGAGAACAGCAGAGGAGACCAGGAGCGAAGGCCGAGTCCAGGCCCCAGGATGGGGACGGGAGACCTGGCCCCAGCAGGAGCGGCCGAACGGCCGGCTGGACTACGCGGCGAGCGCACCTGTTTTTCTCAGGGCCTGCGCTCCCTGAGGGGCGGGGCCTGGGTGGGAGGGGGCGGGGCCTGGGTGGGAGGGGCCGGGCCTGCCGCCGAGGCTGGGCTCAGCGGACCGCCTGCTCCAGGCCGATGCGGACGTGAGCCGAGCAGGACCCCCTCCAGGGCCAGCTGCTGGGTTCAGACTATGGCAGAGCTGGGCCCTGGACAGAACCAGAACCTTGCCAGGCCTCTGGTTTTCCCGACAGTAAGCTGCTCTGAGGAGCTGGGGCGAGCCTGGAGCCCAAGCGACACACCAGCCCCCCAGCCCCATGGCTCTGCCCTGGGCAACCCAAGATCTTGCTGGACCTGGGGGCACCGTGGCCTCGTGGACGAATCCCTCGGCTGCCAGCCTCAGGCACGAACTCTCAGCTCGTGATTGACGGCGGGAGAAAGGCCCCCGCAGGCGTCCACGTGCGTTGTCTGGGTCACTTGCCTCACTTCCTCCCCGCTCCGTCCTCCATAGGCTCCCAGCACCACTCACCTGCCACCTCCGTCCCTGCAGGTTCCCGGGCTCCACACCCTGCTGGAGAAAGGGTTGGGCGCTGTGCACCCTGATGGCTCGCATACCCTCTCTGATCTGAGCTCAGGGTGATTTTTCCTACAAAATGGGGGAAATAGGACATCTCCTGTTGAAAGACAGGACCTAAGGATGATCCCACCTGTGGGCCTGGCTTGTGGCCTTGGTGCCCTGTACGCAGGGGCCCAACGCAGCAGGAGGAAAAGCTCCAGGACAACTGAGGATGGAGCCGACTGGCTGGAAGCCTACCTCGCAGGCTCCCGCACACCTACGTTCCGGCTAGCAGAGTCCTTCGGCTTCCCAGGACTCCTGGCTCACGCCTTTCTGCGCTGAGGCCTTCGGGAGACGTCTGATGGATCACAGGTGAGAGAAGGCAGACGGCAGGGGGCCAGCGAGGCTCTGCACAGCCTGCCCCTTGCACCTGGGCTTGGGATCAGGTCCTGCACTGAGCTGCTCAAGTCCAGCTGGCTCCTGAGGGGTCTTGGGCTCCTTGACAAACTTAAAAATCATCAGGGGCCCCAAAAAGCTTTACTTTATGTAGCACTAGCTATCGATACATACATACCATATTAAAAGTTAAATGAAAAAGTTAAATCTTATCAATTTACTAAAAACCACCATAAATAAATGTAATATAAATTACATTTTAATGAAAATAACTATATTTTCAAAAACACATATATACACTGCCAAACGTAAGGTAGATAGCTAGTGGGAAGCAGCCGCATAGCACAGGGAGATCAGCTCGGTGCTTTGTGACCACCTAGAGGGGTGGGATAGGGAGGGTGGGAGGGAGACGCAAGAGGGAGGGGACATGGGGATATGTGTATATGTATAACTGATTCACTTTGTTATAAAGCAGAAACTAACCAAAAAAATCTAACTCTGTCATTTACTAGATGTGTAACTGTAGAAAAATTAGTCACTTTGCTTCATTAATAAAATATAGTAATAACTTAAAAAAACCCACTTAACATAGTATCTAGCCCTTAATAAACATCATCTTTATTATTGTTAAAAAAACAATTCTAGACACTTTTACATTTATTTTAAATTATTGTGTTTTTTTTATATTTGTATTATTATGTATTTTTCACTGTTGTACATTGTTGGCGTTATCTTACATTTCTGCACATTTCTGTAATGCCTGGCTTAACAGGAGACAGCTGGATTCTCACATCTGCTTCTGCATTCAGTCTCTGTGATACACTGTCCTGGGTGAAATACGTGGAGAAGATTCGGCCTCACACAGGTGTGTGGTGTGGAGTATTTTATTAACAGAGAATGTGGGATGTTTTTTTCTTTGATGCTACACCAAAACTCAACAAGTAGTGTTTTCTTAAAGGTTAGCTGTAATGTGGAGTCTGACACCAAATCAGTGACCCTTTTCTACTCTGTTCCATGAAAATCTACTGGTGTGTTTTGCACTCTGAGTGGATCATGCCCCGAGGAATGATTTCATAACATCCCATGTGGGTCACTGGAAAATATTGGTTCATTGAGTTATGCATCCAAATATTGACACTTTTTTATGTAAAAGTTCACATTTATTAATATTATCCCTGCTCTCAGAAATGTCCTTAAGTGTTGGAAAGCTGTTAAGATTAAAGAAGTAGCACAATTTTTCCAAAATTAGAATTTTCTCTTGTGAGTTCAAATGTTCCCTTTTTTCTTCCCGGTAAATATCTCATTTTTTCCAGTAATAATTATTTTTCTTTAAATTGGAGTAGAGTTGATTTACAATGTCGTGTTAGTGCCAGGTGTGCAGCACAGTGGTTCAGTTCCATACACACACACACACACATATATATATATATACACACATACCTCTATCTATCTATCTCTGTATAGATATTTTTTCAAATTCTTTTCCATTATGTTACAAGATAGTGAACACAGTGCCCTGTGCTATACAGTAGGTACTCGTTGGTTATCTATTTCATACATAGTATTGTGTGTGTGTTAGACCGAACCTCCCCCCTTTTCCCTTTGGTAACCATGTTTGTTTTCTATGTTTATGAGTCTGTTTCTGTTTTGTAAGTAAGTTCATTTGTATCATTTTTTTATATTCTACATATAAGTGCTATCATATGATATTTGTCTTTCTCTTTCTGACTTCCTTCACTCAGTATGATAATCTGTAGGTCCATCCATGTTGTTGCACGTGGTATTATTTCATTCTTTTTTATGGCTGAGTAGTGTTCCACGGTATGTATATATATATATATATATATACACACAACACCTTCTTTATCCATTCCTCTGTTAATGGACGCTTAGGTTGTGTCCATGTCTTGTCAACAGTGCTGCAATGAACACTGGGGTGCGTGTATCTTTTTGAATTATGGTTTTCTCCAGATACATGCACAGGAGTGGGATTGCAGGACAAATTGCTACCATTTACACAAATACCGTCAGGTGTTTTTCTTGAACTGGCAGGTTTACTTCATTCATTTTCAGGGAACTGTCTGCAGATGCCCAAGTCTGGGTGACGACGGGCCATCTGTGTCATTCTTTCCCATTAAAAAGGTGTCCCGAGAGAAGCTTCCCTGAGACCACCCTGTGCTCGGTCAGGGTTCTCCAGAGAGACAGACCAGTAGGGTACATATAGATACATGTGAGAAGAGATTTGTTATGGGAAGTAACAACGTGGTCACGGAGGCCGAGGAGTCCCACCATATGCCGTCTGCAAGGGTGATTCAGTCCAAAGCAGCATCTGAAAACCGGAAGCCCCAATGTCCAAGGGCAGCAGAAGATGGATGTCCAGCTGAAGAAGAGAGAGAATTTGACCTTCCTCCCCTTTTTGTCCATTTGGGCCCCCAGCATATGGGACGACGGCCGCCCACCTTGGTGACAGTGATCTTCACTTGACTCCAACGCTAATCTCTTCCAGAAACACCTTCACAGACACACCCGGAAATAATGTGCTACCAGCCACCTGGGCCTCCCTGAACCCAGTCAGGTTTACACATAAAATCAAACCCCAGAGCAAGACAAGTGGCTTATGTGTACTTCCCACTTTGCCACAGAAGACATTAGAAAGATGATTACTCTGGGGTTGGGATTTAACACCACTGGTATTCGTTGCTGCCTCGTTGAGGACAGCCGCGGGGAAGCCGTGTTGCTCTGACCATGAGTGTGAGCCGTGACGACTGGGTGATATGAGCACAGTCCGGGCTGAGGCCATAGTGCAAAGGTCACCTTGTGACAAAGGCAGATGGCAGCAGTGTCGTTATGCAGCGGGTCTGACCTCACAGACCCCAGAAGGGCTGGGGCCCTGGGGGGTAGACTGTGGGCTGGCGCAGGGGACCCAGTTCAAGCTCCCAGGGGGAACACTCACGCCCGCCCCCTTACCCCACTGTCTCCTCGTGTAATGCAGTGTCCACCTGCCCCAGCCAGGGGCCTCCCCACTTCCAAGCCCTGGCCTTCTGAGGTCTCTCCCTTCCTCGCTCACTTGCTCTGGTCTTGGGTGCCGGTTTTGAACCCCAGCTGTGTGGCGAAGCCCCTGGAGTGTGGTGACCTAGCTCTCCCTCTTCACCTTTTCCTCCCTAACCAGTGTTCAACAAGACTCTGATTAGCTGACTGCTTCGTCATGAGTCTATCCCTCCTCCCACTCCCACCTTCCTCTGGCACCTGCAGTGTGAAAACCCAAACTCAACATGATCAGAGAGGAAGGAGAATCCTAGGCTCACCCAAGCAGAAGTCTGGAGGCAGGAGGGCTCCACATGTCAGCGCAGTGGCTCTGGATATCGCCCTGGACTCAGGCTCTGTCCGCCTGGCTTCCCACTGGCTCACTCTCAGGACGGTACTCAGGCTCTGTCCGCCTGGCTTCCCACTGGCTCACTCTCAGGACGGCACTCCTCATGGTTACAAGATGGCAGTGGCAATTCCAGACATCACACACAGACACAGCGTCCACCAGGAAAAAAGAGGGGCTGCTTCTTCCAACGCATCTTGTTTCCTGCGTGAGGAGAACCTGCCCAGACTTGCCCTCACATCCTTGGGCCAGACTCTCTGGCAAGGGGATGAGACCCTGTGGCTGGTTTAGGCCAATCGTGATCTGCCCTCTGGGGCTGGAGGTCTGGGACACAACTCTCTTCCCCACATGGCTCGCGGGGAAGTTGGGAACATGAACAAACTCAGGGTTCAGAGGGAGGAAGGGAGGTCGAGTGGAAACGTTTGTCAGACAGCAGACACAGCTGGATCCTGGGCTTGGGAGAAAACGGATCGGTTGCAGCAGCAGCCTGACAACCGTTCCTTCCAGCCCCAGGCACCCTCTTTAATATTTGCTCCTGCCGGAATCCAAGAGGGGATGCTTTGGGGGTCGGGGAGAATTGAATTCATTCAGCACCTCTTCCGAAGGGCTCCTGTGTGCTGGGGGGCCGTGCCTGGGGTTCTCGCTCCTGTGGACAGGGGGCCTCAGGGCAAGTTGTCAGATGGGGAGGCTCTTATCTGCCTTCGGGAGAAGCCGTCCCATTCGTTCCACTTCCACTGACTCAGAACCGGTGGCTTCACTTCCCAGCATGTAAATTCCAGACCCCTTAATGCCAGCAGCCCAATCTGACCCCAGCCAGCCTTCACAGTCTCACCTCCTGTTGCCCGAGTTTACGCTGAGCGTGAACTGCCCACGGGGACCCTCCTGCCCTTCCTGCCATCTCCTCGGGTCCAGATCCTGCTCTCCTTCAAGGACCAAGTCAAACATTACTTTTCCACAAAGCCTTCCTTGAACCCACCTGTTTGAAGTGAGGTCTTCCTGAGCCCTTCGCATCTTGTGATATATTTATGTAAATATTTCATAATAATGATGACAGCTAGTTTTTCAGCATTTGCTGTATCCCAGGCCCAATGCCAAGAGCTTATTTAATTTTTATAACATCCATTGGAGGTAGGCATTCTTATTCTCGGGTGAGAAGCTGACACTCAGAGAGATTAATCTGCCTGCTATCACACAACTGTAGCTAGCAGAAGCAGGGTATTGGCTCTCTGTTTCTATGTTCAAATCACTCCAAACTTAGCAGCTACAACAACACACTTATGGTGTCAGTTTCTGTGGGTCCCGAACCCAGAAGTGGCTCGGCCTGGCGGCCCTGGCTGGGACTCGAGTGAGGCTGCAGCTGGAGTGTCGGCAGGGCTCCCGTCTCCCCTGAAGGCTCCATCCGCCTCCAAGGAGGCTCCTCCCCTGGCTGTGGGCAGGAGGCCTCAGCTCCTCCCGTGTGGCCTCTCCCCGGGGCTGCCTGAGTGCCCTCACAACGTGGCTCCCCCTGGGGTGAGCGATCAGAGAGGCAGGAGGAAGCTCAGTGCTGGTCATGACCTTGCCCAGAGTCACTCACATTCCTGCCCAGGTCAGCCCTCTTCAGCTGGGATGGGACTGTACGTGGGCACGGACACAGGAGGCGGGCACAGTGGGGCTGGACCTCCGTCGTGGAGGCTGGTGGCCAAAGGCAGGGCGGAACCCAAGTGCTGCCTGACCCTAACCCCAGCTCTGACTGGCACGTCCTGCATAAGTGCTCCCGGGGCTGACTCGGTGCCCTTGAGCCCCTTCTTCGTGTAGCAGCCGTCCCTGTGAGGCGGGAAGCTCCGTGCTCACGAGGACGCTGCTGCCAGCGCATCTGTGTTTTGCTTTAATCAAGTGAAAAGGTGTGACCCAGACCCCCCCAGCAGCTTGGGCTCATTAAGCTAGAGGTGTGAACAGAATCAGTGGGGGGAAAGATTCCTACCTGGTCTCCTGCGGCTCCTGGGTGCTCCAGCTGGAAGGGTTTTCCCCTGGGAAAGGCTGGGGGTTGGGAGTGGACAGGGGGCCTCAGGGCAAGTTGTCAGGTGGGGAGGCTCTTATCTGCCTTCGGGAGAAGCCGCCCATTCATTCCACTTCCACTGACCGAGCGCCTGCTCAGGGTCTCTGTTGAGGGGCGGGCGATAAAGATGCTGATGATGACAGTAGTGACCACAGCTAATATTTATGAACAGCTTTAAGTGTCCCGGCTCTTTGACCTTCCCAGTGGGATTAAGCTGGGAACCGCGGTGGGAGCTGTCATTGCCCATTTCATAGACAGGAGCACGTGGACCCCAGCGTCCCACAGCCCTGCTGAGGCCATCCCCGCCCCCAGACCCCCTCCTGGGGACGGCTCTCCTCCCAGGGTCAGATCCAAGGGCAGCTGAGGTCCAGAACAGCAGGGCTCCCCCGGATGCCCCAGGAGCAGGGAGGCACTCGCCTCCTGTGGCCTCCCGGCTCTAGGGCCTGCCGTGCCAGGCGGCCCCAGCACTTTGCACGCAGGGCCGCTCCCTCCTGACCGTACACGTGGCCATGGGAGACCAAAGTGGCGGTGATCCCAGGAGCCCGTCTCTTCAGAGGACAGGTGCCTCCCTCCTGGGTGCTGTCCCATCCTTCAGAGCTTGTCTGAGTGCACAGTGGGAAATCCTAGTGCACGTGGCTTTGTGTTCCAGTTTTCCAGTGGGAGGATCTAGGAAATTATTTATGCTGTTTTTATTCAACCGTAGACTACTATGAGCAATTCCAGTGTTTCTTTTTTTTTTTTTTTTGGTGGTACGCGGGCCTCTCACTGTTGCAGCCTCTCCTGCAGAGCACAGGCTCCGGACGCGCAGGCCCAGCAGCCATGGCTCACAGGCCCAGCCGCTCTGCGGCATGTGGGATCTTCCTGGACCGGGGCACGAACCCACATCCCCTGCATCGGCAGGCGGACTCTCAACCACTGCACCACCAGGGAAGCCCTCTACTGTTTCTATACAGCTTCACTACTGTACTTCATGGGGCCCTGTGATCTCGCTATTTCCTCTGTCCTAACTCAGCCCCCACCGAGCAGCACTTAGGTTGTTTCCTGGCTACAACAGCAACACTGCTGGGAACACCTCTGAGGATGTCGCCGTGGAGACCATTTATTCTTGTCGGAAGGAGCTATCTGGCTTTGTGTGGGGAAGAGTTTTGGTCTTAAGCACAAGGATACACATGTCTGCTTGTTTGCTCAAGAATCTCAGAGCCATGAAAAGGTGAGGGGCACGAGGCGGGGAGCAGGGAGCAGAGCTCCGGGTTCAAACCCTGCTCTGTCACTTTGTCAGAGCGACAGGCACTCAGAGCCTCAGTCTCCTCACTTCCTGTGGTCAGAGCCAGCCTCGGACACCGGCTCCGCGCAGCCCTCTGAGGGCCCCCATCACCTGGCCTGGCTTGATCTTCCTCCAGACCACTTGTCTGTCTCGGCTTGGACAGCTTGAACGACACGTGCCTCTTTCTCACACGTCTGGGGGCTGGATGTGTCTGATGAGAGCCCACTGCCTGGCCTTTAGACAGCCATCCTCTCACTGTGTCCTCACTGGCCGGAGAGCAGAGAGGGGAGCAGGCTCTCTCGTGACTCTCGTAAGGGCACTAATCCCATCCTGGGGGCTCCACCCTCATCACCTCATATAACCTTGATTGTCTCACTAGACCCCACTTCTTAACACCATCACATTAGGGGCAGGGTTTCAACATGTGAATTTGGTGGGGGGGGGGCGGGACAAAAACTTCAGTCTATAATGTCATCAATGGCATATGACTTGTCTAACTATTCCCTTTCCTTCTCCCCCACGAGCACATAAGTGACCGGAGGGCAGGGGCTGTGTTTACATCTCCGGTGCCTGGAACACACCTGGGGACACGTCGGCACCTGCACAAACACCCAGCTGCCTGTCGTGAGCTGCGGGAGGCCGTGGGGTCCTGGGTTATTCAGCAGAGGTGGTGGCGCCATGGTAAGGATTTGCCACGGCTGCTGATCAGGCTCCTGTTCCCATGGCGTGCCTGGTGGAAAGCAACCCCCTGGGAATCCTTGGAGTGTTTGGGACCAGAGGCGAGAGAGCAGCCAAGGAGGCTCCGTGATGGGCAGGGGCCGCCTGCAGGTGGAGAGGAGCCACACCCACGTGGACATCCTTGAGGTGATTCCTGTCTCCTCCCCCTTTAAAACTTACTTTATAGTCTAGTTTAACTTTTATCTTTATCACAGGTACACAGTTATCCAGCCACACAGTTTAAGGAACCCCCCTTCCCTTCCCAATCACCAGAGACGGCTTTCAATTCCTTTGATATTTACCTCCACGTGTCCACCCCGGCGCTCTTTGCTCCTGTGATGGACACCCAGCCTCAGCGTCTCTCTCCACGCCACACCCTTCCTGTGCCCCCATCCCTGCCCAAGAGAGGGAGAGAGGGAGAAAGGGGGAGAGATGGAGAGAGAGAGAGAGGGAGGGAGGGGTGGGGAGAGGGGGAGAGAGAAGGAGAGAGGGGGAGAGGGAGAGAGAGGCAGGGAGGGAGAGAGAAGGAGGGAGGGAGAGGGAAGAGAGGGAGGGAGGGGGAGAGGGAGAGCCGGGGAGAGGGAGAGCAGGGGAGAGGGGGGAGAGGGAGGGAGAGAGGAGAGGGGGAGAGAGAGAAGGATGGGGAGAGAGAGGGAGGTAGAGGGGGACGGGGGAGGGGGAGAGGGAGACTGCCTGAATTCGTTAGACCAGCGTCCATGTCTGCATTGTAAGTGTTTACATTATTGCAATTCTGTAAATGCTTGTCTGAGCCAAGCCTCCTAGAGCCACGCGATACTTTGCCTTTGCTGCTGTTCTCCCAGTATTTAACTATTGCCTATTTTTCTCTCTTTTTAAAAATATTTATGTATTTATTTAGGCTGCGCAGGGTCTTAGTTGCAGCACATGGGATCTTTAGTCACGGCATACAAACCCTTAGTTGCGGCTTGTGGGATCTAGTTCCCCAACCAAGGATGGAACCTGGGCCCCCTGCGTTAGGAACGCGGAGTCTTACCCACTGGACCACCAGGGAAGTCCCTCACCTATTTTCCTCTTGATCAGTGTTCTAGGTATTTATCCTTCTTCTAGCCCCAAACTCTCCCTCAGTGGTTCAAATCTCCTCTCAATAGAGCAAACACAACAGTTATTCCCCCAGTTCCATCTTCCTCAGGATGACTGCTCCCGTCTGCCAGGTGGGGGACCCCAGAGTCCAGGATGCTAGGATGTGACAAGAGTGGTCACTGGGCCACCCAGCTGCTGTGCTGGGGACAGACTGACGGGGCAGGGAGGTTTAAGCAGGGAAGCCAGGAGGAGGCTATTTTAGTAATCAGGGTGTGACACCATGGTTTCCCAGCACCCTCCCCACCGCCCCCTGGTTGCAGGGGTGATGGTGGGAAGTGGCTGGTTTCTGAAAGATGCTGAAGGAGAAACCAGCAGGACTGGATGTGAGGTAAGGCAGGAAGCAAGGAGGGGAGTCTGCACGACTGAGCCCAGGAATGATGGATGGGATGGGAACGCTGACGGACAACCTCGGGGGTGAGTCGGAGTCCATCTGGGCTGCTGTAACAGATGCCACAGACTGGGGGGCTTGAGTTCTCACAGTTCTGGAGGCTGGAAATCCAAGATCAAGAGAGTCTGTGTCTGGTGAGGGCCCCCGTTCTGGTTCATGGGCCGCGTCTTCTCGCTGTGTCCTCACCTGGAGAAGGGGAGGCGGGGAGCCTTGTGGGGTCTCTCTTCTAAGAACACTAATCCCATTCATGGAATCTCTGCCCTCACGACCTCATGAGGTTAGAAGGCCCCCCTTCTAACACCATCACATTGGCGGAGTCAGGGCTTCAACAACGGATTTTTGGAGGACACAGATATTCAGACCATAGCAGAGAAGAGCCCACGTTCAGGTGGATGTCTGGTCAGGTGGGCGCTTAGGAGCGTCCCCACACCCACGCTCGGGAACAACCCCGCTGCTTGCCAAGTGCTGTGGGCCCCTGCCAGTCACTGCAACAGGGAAGTTCTGATTTTCTTGAATTTCTTCGATGATTCCCCCCCTCTGTCTCGTCTGCGGTCCCTTCCTGAAACTATTATACTTTTCTTACTGGACCGAACGGCGGGCCCAGGGATCTTCTCATCTTTTTTCCATCTCAGTCGTTTTGCTGCTCCTCGGAGATTTCCGGCCCCTCTTCCCTCGGGCTCCGCGTCCTCAGCCCCCCCGGAGGTTCACGGCCGACACCGAGGGCGGTGGGGCGGCGGCCCAGCCCGGGTTCGGCCCGGCTCGCGGCGCCCCGGGAGGCGGGCGGGAAACGCGCTGGCCCGAACCGTGTGTCCGTGGTTGATTTGTTACTTCAGAGAAATCTCACGTTTCGGCCGAGCGGACTTGTGCCCGGCTCCGCCCAACAGGGAGTTAGAACACCTGAGGCGCCCGGTTCCCAACCCGCTTCGGGATGGGAGCGGTGAACACGCAGCCGCCCGGGCCCCGGGGCCGCGACGACTGGTCGCGGGGAACGTTCGCGCCCGGAACCCGCGGCGCGGTGCCGCGCCGGGGGACGCGCTTGGGCGCCGGACGCGGGGTGCGCGCGCAGCTGCGGTTCCGGTTCCGGTTCCGACCCGGCAAGGAGGAGGAGCGCGAGTCCGGCCTGCGGAGGTAGAGGCCGCCCCCTCACCCCTCACCCCCGCTCCTCCACCCCGCGTCCCGCCCCGCCCCCTCCCTCGCAGGGGCTGCGTCAAGTGGGGACCCTGCCTTCCCTTCGCGGCGCTGGCGGCGACGTCCAGGCCCCCGGGGTGTAGGAGTGAGTCAGGTCCACGTTCAGCCATAGTTGGAGGGAAGTTGATCTGCCTTGTCGGAAACAAATCCATTTTCGGCCTCATTGGGCCGCAGGAATCCTCCTTGAAGCACCACGCCCCTCCCCCCGCACTTTCTTTGTTTGCTTTGTGCACTAAAGAGGAGGTGATAATCAGCGGGGCTTTGAAGGATGATTAGGAGTTTGCCAAAAGGGGGAAGGATGACAATTGGAGGTGGGAACAGGAATCCCGTGTTTGGGGAGTTTGTAGGCTTCCATCCCGAGGAGGGGCATGTTTGGAGACCTAGGCAGGGACAGGTGGGGGTAGGGGGCACCGGTGCTGGGCCCAGGAGCACAGACATCCCCAAGCAGGCTTCAGGGGGCCCCCGGAGGTTCTGATGTGAGACGTGAAAGCCCAGCGAGTCTAGCGAGCTTTCCTCAGTCCCTATTGTGCCCCCACCCCATGTCCCAGAGCCACTCTTCAAGGCAGACGGCATCTGTGGATTAAGCCACGGCCCAAGATTGTAAGCTTCATCCCTCCAGATGGCATCTTTAAAATAGTATTTTACGTCCTAATATGGAGATGGGTTTAAGCGTTTGCTTTTCCCTTTTGGTGTTTTTGATTTGAATGCAGTGTGAGTGTTACTTAAAAATGTAACTTTGAAAGCGGCTCCCCAGACCACAGGCAGCGTGCTGAGACAAGTGTCCGGCGCAGAGGGAGCGTGCGGGCCCCTCCCCAGCCGCGCACCTTCCCCGAGTCCGCAGACAGCGGGCGGGCTTGGCGGCAGGTGGTGGTGAGCCGTCAGGTGCCATTTGATTCATTTCGAAACCAGCCGCCTTCATTTGAATGCAAGTATCGTTCTTATCGCGTAATTTTTGTCACATGGCTCCGTGGTGAGCATGGGGCTGAGCATGGCTGGGCCGTGTGCTTCCCACTGTGTGTGCTGGGCGGTTCTCACAGGAGCCGAAGGCTTAGACGGCTGAGGAAAACTCGGAAAAACCAGTGAACGTTCTAGGCTGGGCCTGTTTTGACTCTAGAATCTGTGCTGTCAACCAGCAGCCCGGTTAGGACGTGACAGATGTCATCTTCCTGGTGTTGGGTGTGTGTCCTGAGAGGGCCGTGGTTACCCTAAGTAACCTAAGTGGTCTGGCCTGGGAACCTGATGGTCAGAGCACTGAGTGGCTTCTGCTGGGTCTCTGCCTGGGCTCCGGCCTCCCGGAGGGAGCTGAGCGTGGCGTGGCGTGCCCGGGAGAAGGCGTCCGGTTCTCCAGAATTCAGGTTTCCGTGTTCTTGGCCGGGATTTTTTCACATTGCTGCATGGTGGTGCTGACCTCATGACGTTGGTTAATCGAGATAGGGAGAAATCCGTGGCCGAACTGAATTTACTGGGCGGCAACGTCACTCCAGGCTGTGCCACCGGCAGTGATGGGGGGCCCCGTGGCCAAGGGGGCTGGTGGTTGGAAGGCGTGGCCTCTTTTCCTGAGGTAGCTGTTGGTCTTTCTGCACCTGGACCTGCTCAGGACACAGTCATCTGACCTGACCTCGTTCTTTCTGCTTGTTCAAGGCAGGGCCTTGCTCCCCTTGACCTTGGAGATTTTAGCTCTGTATTGAATGGCTCGATGATGGGTGGTTTGGGGAGCACCTAAAAGCTGTTTTGAAGGGGTGGCCCCATGTTCCCACGTGTTCAGTGGGAGAAAAAATTAGTGCAGCTTCTCTGGAGGCCACTCTGGCAGCGTTTACCCAGTTAAAAGTCATTTGGGTTGTACGCTCCGTGGTGAGCAGGCAGGGCCCCTTCTCAGCGTCTGTTCCACAGACACCCCCGTGTGAGCACAGCTCCGTGTCCCTGAGCCTCCCTCCCTGCAGGTCACCTGGCAGGCTCCCCGTCCCCCGAGCTCGAGCCACCTGCCCCACCCTGCCTCGGGACACCCGTCCCCACGCGGAGCCAGGCGGTCTTGCCACCTCCCAGCACTGGGACACTGGGGCCAGGTCACTGCTGCCGGACGCCAGCCCTGCGGTGCTCTGAGGGCCAGCGCAGCGGGCGTTCCAGCTGCTTCTGTGAGGACTTCATCATTGTCCCCATGAGCCTTCCGTGAACCACTAGGTTTAATTGCGAGAAGAAGGCTATCTCATTTTTATTTGCCTCTGTCGTTTTGAGACACTAAAGAGCTACAGAAAATTACAGACACCCTGTAGGTCCACCATCCAGAACAAATAATTTTAATATTTTCCTCTTTTTTTCTATTTTTTTTCCTTTTCCTTTTTTGTACCAAAGAAAATGTTAATGCTGAGGTTGAAATACCTCCATTTGAAAATATAAATGTCATTTATTAGACTTTTAAAATCTGATTACAAAAGTCGTACGTGCTCATTGCAGAAAATCTGGAGCAAATTGAGCAGCGCTAAGAAGAAAACGAAAGCCACCTGTGGCCCTGCTGCCTCGTGTCCACCTGGAGGCTCACCTTCCTGTCTCTGGAGGGACGTCCCTCCCCTGAGCAGCGCTGCGGGGGCAGGTGCAGTCGGGCCGTGGCCCAGCCCCACACGCGTGTGTGTGCCCTGGCCTCCTCAGACCTTCCGGACCACCTGGCTTAGCCCCAGTTTTTCAATAGCAGAAATAACCCTGCAGTGAACACCCCACAGTGAACCTTTGTGTACACGGCTGATTATTTCCTTAGGATACATTTAAAAAACAAAACCGTGGGAACAGAGGGCTTGCATTTCCTGTTTTCATGTCGCATCTAGAAGGGACTGCTGAGTGCCCTCTTTGGACGGCTGAGCCGTCTCTAGGCTGGGGGTGCCGGCCAGTTAATGTGTGGTGTCTCTTGGGGCAGCTCCCAGCACGGACTTGGCCTTCCCTGCCCAGGGCCTTCCTCACCACCTGTGGTGTCTCAGAGTGGGTTGGTGTGCTGCAGCCAGCCGGGCCTGGGTCTCGATGCTGTTTCTCCAGTTGCTCTGTGGCCTTGGGCAGGTGGCTTCACCTCTCTGTTTTTCTTGGAGGTGCTGCTCTGACTGTCTGCCCCCGGTATCTGTCCCCAGCCCACTGTGGATTCGCTGCTGTGGAGTCAGAAGTCAGCTAGCCCTCCCACCCCTGGCCAGGGAGGGAGGGGAAGTGGCGGTCAGCCTGTCTTCCAGTTTTCATTTCAAGTTCTCAGACCCCAGCTTCTCTCTGACTGGCCCCCCTCAGTGTGGTCCAGTCCCTGGGGCCCCAGGGGGAGCAGGCAGAAAGCTTGCCCTTCCTAGGCCCCTCATGGGGTGTCTGGGCAGAGGAAGGCTGAGCCGGTGGGTCTCGCTGGCAGCAGCTGTGACATTGCCTGTGAAGCCCTGTGAGGCCTGCCAGGCAGAGGGGTGGGAGCAGCAGCCACTCCTGGCTGTCCATCTGTCTGTCCTCCACGGCACCCAGTGCCTGAGTGCTGTGCTCCTCAACACCCCCGAAAATGCTGTCACTTCAGCGGGCACCCCCGAACATCTGTCTTGCGTGGTCACCAACAAGACTCAGGCCTCGGGCCGTAACCCAGAAACGTTGTGCGGTAGGTTTTCTGTTTATAGATTCTCTTTGTTTTAGTTTCTCCTGCCTGTAAAGCAAATAGAGAAGAATTTGCTAGAAGTGAGAAGAGGAAGCGCTTAAAGCCCCTGGTTTGCTTCTCACTAGCTCATTTTCTTTTCTTTTCTTTTCTTTTTTTTTTTTTGCGGTATGCGGGCCTCTCACTGCTGTGGCCTCTCCCGTTGCGGAGCACAGGCTCCGGACGCACAGGCTCAGCGACCATGGCTCACGGGCCCAGCCGCTCCGCAGCATGTGGGATCCTCCCGGACCGGGGCACGAACCCGTGTCCCCTGCATCCGCAGGCGGGCTCTCAACCACTGCTCCACCAGGGAAGCCCACACTAGCTCATTTTCTTTCTGAAACTGGCACATCTCATATGTTTATCACATTTCTTATTTTCTCTGGTCAAGCCCAGCTGTTTTCTTACAATTTGTCAGGTTTCTTTATAGTAACAGAAATCCAGAGGTGTGAAACCAACTGCGAGCCCGCCTCTGAACCTTGCGTAGAGGACAGAGCCCAGGACGTCACAAGACACTCTGGCCTCCTTCATCTGGAAGGGGTGTGGGCCACGTGTACTGGAGAGCCCACCGGTGGGGGAGGCCTGGAGCTTTTGGGAGTGTTTCCATAGGACCTCGGAGCAGCCGCTGGGGAGGAGATGGGGCCGCCGAGGCCCCTGCAGGCAGGAGGGTCAGGCAGGCGGGCATCTCCCTGGTGCCAGGTTTCCGCCTGCTGGGCCGGGAGGCTGGGAGACCTTGTGTCAGAGCCCTTGCCACCCGGGGCAGCCAGCACGCGGAGGATCTCAGGACAGAGGAGAGCTCAGTCCCGACCTTTACTGCTGTGGGCTGTTTGTTTTGTTAGGTAATTATAAAGTGTTGTGTGTAGTCTGTTTTTTAAATTAACAACAGAGAACAAAACTGTTTGGTACATGTAACAAACATAGCACATTTGTTTTCCCCTGTAGCAAGTTAATGAAGGAGACGGAAGAGTGAGGCTTGTCGGGGAGAGGATGCTCTGAGCCCGGGAGAAGCAGCCTCCTGGCAGCAGGTGTGGGGCTGCCCGCCCACCGGTCCCCACCTTCCCTGCTTTGCTGGGCCCGTTGGAATGGGAACGAGAGTTACGTTACAAGTTTTATTTTATGATGTTGTTGGACAGTGCCTTGAAGGTGTCCTCATCAGCCTCTGACACTCAGAAGTGCTCTCTAGGGTCCCTGTGAAGTCTGCCCACCCCCCCCGGCCCCCGCCCCAGTAACAGGGAGAGACACGCCCCCCACCACCACCACCACGGCATAGCCAGCATCAGGCCATTTCCTTGTGCTGTCGTGGGCCAGGGTGGCCGTGGGCGTCTGGCGTGGTGACTCTGGTGGGGAACGATGGCTGGGGGTGGGAAGGCTCCGGCTGGGCTCCTGGCTGTGATTTAGGAGGGGGGACTTTGAATTTTCTCGTGGGTGAGATAGGGTTAACAGTGCTTGCCTTACTGATTGAACAGGGTGGTCGGAGGTGAAAACACACGTAATATATTCAGTGTGTTACCAAATAATACTCATTAAAAATCCTTCAGCAACAACCGGGGGAGCGCCCCGTCAGGGACACTGCTCTGGCTGAGAGCGCCCAGGCGGAGCAGAGGTGGCAGAGGCTACAGTGGGGAGGGCACGGCCGTGGGGACGCCGAGCCGGGGCAGGTGGTGGCCCGTGGACCTTGCTGGCCGCCCTGGCGCTGGGAGGGAACCGTCTTCCGTGGTCCCGGGGGTCAGGAGGGCTCCTGACCTCTCGAGTGGGGGGGTGGCAGCGTGGAGGGGGTGCGCCCGGCCACCCTTTCCCAGGCCTCCTCTAGAGCACACTGGAGAATTCCAGGTGCGGGTCGTGGCTCACAGCCTTCCTGGGGAGCCCTCCTCCTGGCGGCCGGACTGTTTTGGTCATTGTTTAGTAGTTAGGCTGTGGGGAAGAGAGGGAAGAGTTATGTTTTGGCTTAAAAAACAGAGTGACGCTTTGCAGACATGTGAACCTGCCCTGTTTGCGTCTCTGCTCTATTTTAGACAGGTTCCTAGGAGTCCAAGGCTCGGCACGTGTTCCAGAGCAGAAGCGAGCCCAGTGTCTGTGCTCCGCTCGGCGGAATCTCCAGGCCCCGCTGCTGGCGGGGAGGGAACACAGACAGCCCTTGAACCGGGCGGGGGTCGGGTGGGCGTTAGGGGCGACCCCACAGCCGAAAATCCGAGTAACTTCACAGCCGGCCCTTCCTGCACACCCCCGCCCTCCGTATTCACACTCGTGTAAGTGCCGCAGTGCAGATTAGTGAAAACAGGCCACGTGTACGTGGACCCGCGTCGTGCACACCGTGCTGTCCAAGGGCCCTTGGCACTTATTGTCCCGGCTCGTACTTCTCCGGGTTCAGGTGTTTGAAAACAGTTATTCAGAATTTACCTGAAGTGCATCGAGTTCTGTTTGTTTCTCCTTGGCTTCACCTAGTTTAGTTCATTGTTTTAGAATCTTGCATGTTTTTAAAACCTTTAAAGCAATGAGATTGAATAAAAAGCTGAAACTTTGGTCAGTTAAGTTCCAAAGGTGTGTGTTGTGAGATCGTTAGCATTTCCGGTCTCGGGATGTCCGCCCGTGATTGGCAGTGACGCCCCCTCTCCCGGCCGCCGTGGGGGTCCGGCAGGACAGGGCAGTGACCGCAGCGCCCTCTCTTCCCGCCAGGTACCGGCACTTGGCGTCTGCTGCTGCGACGCTGCCCCGCGTGGTGATGTCCCTCCGGCGCCTGGCCTGGGCCTGGCCTGGGCCGTGTTGGTGGCCAGACCCCCGGAGGTGCAGAGGACGCGGCGCCCTGCACACGGCCCCGGCCGCGCGCTCCGACAGCAGCACGCTGGGCTTCCGCCGCGCCCTGGGCTTCGGGGACAGGATCGCCCTCGTCGACCAGCACGGCAGCCACACGTACAAGGACCTCTACTCCCGCAGCCTCTGCCTGTCCCGGGAGATCTGCCGGCTCCGTGGCTGTGCCGACAGGGACCTGCGGGAGGAGAGGGTGTCCCTCCTGTGCAGCAATGACGTCTCCTTCGTGGTGGCGCAGTGGGCCACGTGGATGAGCGGCGGCATTGCCGTCCCCCTCTGCAGGAAGCACCCCCAGGCCCAGCTGGAGTACTTCATCCGGGACTCGCGCAGCTCCGTGGTCCTCGCCGGCCTGGAGCACGTGGAGCTCCTGAGCCCGGTGGTCCAGAAGCTGGGGGTCCCGCTCCTGCCTCTCCCGCCCACAGTCTACCATGGGGCAGCCGAGGACCCCGGGGAAGGCCGGCTGCCAGAGTGGGACTGGAGAGACCGGGGCGCCATGATCATCTACACCAGCGGGACCACGGGGAGACCCAAGGGCGTCCTGAGCACGCATCAGAACATCAGGGCCATGGTGAGTGCTTCTGGGGCCGCCACGGTTGGGAGGTGCAAGCTGTGTCCCCGCAGGCCAGTCCCAGCAGCAGTCACGGCAGGCGGCCTTCTGTTCATTCTGCAGGGCCAGCCACAGCTCTCACCGTCCCACCCCTGGGGCCATGTGACCGGCAGCCCCACTGGCGGTGTAGGGGGTGCAGTGCCCAGGTGCCGGGGGGTAACAGGCCCCCTCGGGCTCCTCCAGAGCCGTGGCGTGTGGAGCATGGAACGGGCCACTCTATGTGACGCTGAGGTTTTAAAGGAAACCAGCCCCAAAGCAATTATCCAGATGTGCCGTCAGCCCCTAACTGCGGCTGATTCGGGAAACGAGAAGCAGGAACTCGTGTGCGCCACATCGTAGGTGTTAGCTTGTGTTCCGTGGCCTCAGTTACCATTTTTGTGAAACTCCCCAGCCGCTGTGTCTATCTGCAGTTTATACTCTTCTTGCTTCCAAAAAGCATTTGCACGTACAGTGAAGACTCTTACACAGCAGGAGTGGGAAAATAAGAGAGAAGTTCAAACCCACAAAGAGGGAGGTCAGAGGTCAATGCCATCGACTCAGGCTAATTCAGTCCATAAGTCAGCATGAACTGAGTCGGGCCGGCTGCAGGCAAGGCGTGATTACACGTCGTCTCTGTCTCCGCGGAGGAGACGTGCTTTTTGTCTGGAGAGGCCATCTCTGGACCAGTATCTCTGCGGGGTGGGCATCTCACTTGTGTTCGCACATGGCCGTCACCGCGGTGACGGGGACTTTTTGGCTCAGCTGGGGCGAGGATGGTGCCAGAACAGACGTGGCGCAGACAGACAGCCGGGTTCCAGCCTGGCCTGTCGGAGCCGCCTGAGGGGAGAGCCGCCCAGAGTCTGCAGAGGCCTTTGACCCCAAATCAAAGGCCCTTTCAAACTGGCTGAAGCCCCTGACTACGTGCGACCCTGTTCTCTAGCAGGAGGGTAAGTGGTGGACAGACGGCCCCGCGGTCAGACCCCAGGTCATTCTGTTACCATGTCCTCCCAGGCCGTCAAGGGCGGGGCAGCGGCCGTCTCCTCCTGCCTTTTCGGCTGGCGCGGCCGGCTGCGTGCGCCGTCCTATTCTGAGGCTGTGCTGCCGTTCTCCAGGTGACGGGGCTGGTCCGCAAATGGGCCTGGACAAAGGACGACGTGATCCTCCACGTCCTCCCGCTGCACCATGTCCACGGCGTGGTCAACAAGCTGCTCTGTCCGCTCTGGGTGGGCGCCACCTGCGTGATGCTCCCCGAGTTCAGCGCTCAGCTGGTGAGTCGGGGCCGGGCTCTCGGCGTCGCGGGCTCTGGGCCTCCCCGGGCTAGGTCCCTTCTCTGGGGTGCAGAGTCCCAGCGGCGAGCTTCCTATTACTGCTGGAGCAGAGGGTCCCCACTGGGGCTTCGCACAGCACAAGTGTACTCTCGGTTCTGGAAGGCCAAGTCCAAGATGAGGCTCGCGGGGCTAAGGGCCAGGCGCCGCAGGCCTGATTCTGTCTGGAGGCTGCGGGGCGGAATCTGCTCCCGCCTCTTCCAGCTGCTGCAGGTGCCCGTGTGCCCTGCCTTGTGGCTGCATCACCCCCACCTCTGCTTCTGTATTCTCGTGACCGCTGCCTCTTCTGTGGCCAGATCTCCCTCTACATGAGGACCCACCCAGTGTCCAGGGCAACCGCACCCTCTCCAGACCCCTGCAGAGTCCCCTTTGCCACGTGAGGGGGCGCATCCACGGGGGTGAGCACGTGGATGTCTTGGGGCTGTTGTGCAGCTGACTGCTGGCTTTCAAGGTCCCAAGCGGATGGCCCAGCTGGGGGCTCCGTGTCAGTCTCCCCACTGGTCCCTCTTTTCAGCAGGGGGTTCTTGCCCAGCACTGCCGTGTGGTCAGCAGGGGAGGGAGGCCGAGTGGATACGAGGTGGGGCAGAGCGGGCACTGCAGAGCAGAGTGCAGGAGGAGGGGAGCGACCTGGCCAGACGCTGCCCCTGCCCCCGGCACGTGGTGAGCTGCTGTGCAGCAGTCCCATCCCAGCCTCCGTGTCCCGTGTACTGGTGGGGACAGGTGCCTGGGGCAGGTGAAGGCAGGGCTCTGAGGTGGTGATGGGCTGACTGCACGGAGAGGCTGCCGAAGTGACACATCCCCGTGGGGCCGCCAGGAAGCACAGGGCTTGAACGAGACCCTACTCTGTCACTGACTCACGCTGTAACCTATACAGCATGGGAATGCGAAGGGGGAGAGCCCAGGAAGCACCTGGGCTGGGCTTCTGTGGGCGCTGGACTTCAGATGGGGGCGGGGCTCCAGGTGGGGGCGGGCTCCTGTGGGGGGCGGGGCTCC